CATCACACCTAAAATTCTCTCTACCACTGGAAGCATACAACGTTCCTTTAGTCAACTGTTCACAGGGCTACCGACTGGAGAAAAGCATGTGCCTTTTAAGCCTTGACTTTCAATGACCCTCCGGTGGACAGGTAAAAGCACTGTTCCCCACATCTGCTCCGGTAACGGTCTATCACTTATAGAGGTCCTGCAGCCTCAGGTCAAACATTGTAGTGACTCCATTTCTGACACACTTATCGAGTAGCGGAGTTGAGTGGTTTCAAACAGCGAGTTGTCCAAGAGACGATAGAAAGAAGACGAAGCAATAATAAAGCTGGAATACTAATTTACAACAGCTGTTGTGTATTCACACTAATTCTACTGGTGAACACGTTGTCATGGGCGCATGGCTGATGCTTACCTACTATACACTGTGAGTCAATTGTATGCGTGCCGTTACTTGGTAGTCCACCTGTGGCTCCCTACCGTGGTTCATTGCTCCGGGAGCCATCCTGAAAGTGTGCTGACGGCCTATTTGCAAAATAATCTCCTTAACAGACTGTAAAGTTTGCCTACTCTGATTCAAACACATGGAGACGCCCCAAAACCAGACAATGATAACCCATTAGCTGTGACAAATAGTGCTTGTGGTTGTTCAGTGGTTTGATGAGTAAAGCATCCGCCGTCATTCCCATGATCCTGGGTTTCAATAGTAGATTGCAATAAAAGTGTGCTGCCCATCTGCTTGAATTTATTTGTGAAGGTTCTGCTTAAACTACCTCAGATTGGGTACTGCTTTTGAAAAACTGCTGCCCCCTTAAAAAGTACAACGAATATCTACTAGCTGTGCTAGACAGTGGGCTGTCACTCACTAAGTGCTTGGTTCCAGTCCTACCTATGGCTAATTATACCCCATGAATTCAACCGAAGACGAAACCAGTGGTGGAGTGCTGTGCTTGGAGAGAGCCGCAACGAAGTGTTTTAACTTGGGACATGTTTCCGGCGATCATACTCACCGAGGCTTGTTGCACTTTCACTTGTGATCCAAAGTGAGATAACACGTCGCAATCCCAAAACGCACGGCGTGTATTCCAGTGCTCAACAATGAACACTTCAACATCATATTACTACCTCTTAGCAAACAAGTGGCATCCGTTATCATAGCTTGAGAAGTGGGATGACATATTAATATTTCTACTGAACGTCAGTTAGCACCAGGTGTATGTGCGTCGAACTCGAGTGCCTTTGGAGCTTGAGGTGGAAGCATCTGCAGCTTACCAAATATCGAAAAGTAAGAATGCGGCATCATGAAGTTAGCAATCAGGATACTGAAAACATTCCAATTGCGGATGACTGCAAACTCGATAACGAGTGTCGGGATATCGATGCAGCAATCTATGAACGAGACGAAGGTGACGGCGGCATCTGGTTCAGGAATTAGGAATATATTGCCGAAATGGAAGTGACTGCAATGCATTCTTGGCAAGCAAGACCCTGAAGTCGAGGGCTTCAAGTCATGAGTAGGAACGGATTGCGCGATGCCGCTGGGTCTTCACGTTTGATCTGGTTGCTGATACAAATGAGATACACAGTATCTAGTACGCATATAAGCGCTAAAAATATGCGTCGGTTGGTCCACAATAACTTCGAGCAAGGGCTGCGTAAGGGAAGCGAAGGAATGGTGGCAACCCTTACTGGGTTTGGTATCCCTGCGACGGCGAACAGTTGCGGAATCCCTGCGCCTACCATGGTAGAGTGGGCTAAACACCTCCCAACACCATATCCAATGCAAACCGGAAAGACTTAAATTGTGAGGCATACAGGTCGGAATGCTGCTTAACTTCTTACTTTTGCACTGTGCTTTTACGTGCAAATTACGCATGGGGAGTGGACGCGAGGAATGTTGCACCACAGTTACCACGGCATGTAAATGCTGCAGATCAGCGACACAGAAAGCTAACATATGTGTATTTTCTGAACATTTGTACCGTATTCGATCGGTCGCTATCAAACAATCAACCAATAACTAAGGTAAGGACATAGACTTACATATGTGCACATATGACGACTGAATCGTTGCGTGTTCCATAGTGTAACCACACGTTTGACTGGGATTCCGGTGAGAACAGAGCATGCCAGCTCCACCAGCAATGAGTCCCTTTCTCACTGAGGCATTACACTGCTGGCGGTGTCCGACGATTAATCCTATCGCTAATGTTTGTACAAGCTAATGATCATTATACTTTGCGGTGCGGAGGATGGAAACGGTTTGTTCTCCGAGCTGAGCACTTTGTTGCCTGGAGTCTGCTCCATCATCAGCGCTTTCAAGAAAATGCGGCATCTCTAAAAACTGTTCTATCACACGGGGATATGCAGTCAAGTGTCTGTGTATATGGCCCAAATTTAGCACTGAGAAATGATGTAGTAGACGTCGGTCATTATGCCAGAACAAGTAGTCAACGCAAGTCCATCTTGAGAATTAAACTGAGGTAACTACACCCTTCGAATCTGCCTGTGTGCTGATTGCAAATTTCCTCATACCCTGTCATCTTGCATTCGGTAAAGGTAGGATCCATTACAACGTAAACGGATCCTGTTTTCAGCTAATTCCAGCAATTGGTGTAGAAGTGTGGAGGTGGGAAATGAACTCTACTTATTGATCAGTTGTTGAGGGGTTTGCCGAGCTTGATTCAATGGGCGCAGACGTTTTGCCACCATGCGAGGTGACACCAGCCGGTAGCTCATGCACTACTCATTCATGATCGCGGAATAACTGTGCTTAATGCGGTTGAAACAGGGGGAAGGAGAGGCAAAATCTACTGTCGAGAGGCGTGTTTCTGCCCCTACCAAGAAATGTTTCATTTTGTAACAATGACAGATTGCCATTCTTGGATGCACCGGTTCACAGAAATACAAGCGGAAAACTTCAAACGTATGTATATCAGACGAAGATACACACAGTCCAAATAGTAAACCACCACAGTAACCATCCATTGAACCACAAGTAGAGGTGCATCCAAAGACTTTTCAAAAGGGCCGAAACATACTACAGCACGACGGAATTAGGAAGAGAGTATTTCAAAACTACAGGCATCCGAGAAATTTCATCAGATTGAGACCTGACTGAGAGAGCGCCTTCAGAACAGAGAGAACAGGTAGTTGAGTGAGTAGTGGTTCCTTACATTAAATAGGTGTCAGAACTAACACCGAGATTGCTACGACCACATAGAATCTTGGTAACCCACAAACGGACTGTTACTTTGACAGGATTGCTTTCAATACCGAAAGACAAGATCAAACAAGGCCGAGAACGTGGTAATCAGCACATCGGACAAACTGATTGGATACTTTCAACATGGATCATCGAACACAAAATGGTCATGAGGAGACATGACACACATTCCATAGTTTTCTTAGATGCAGATCAGGAAGACCATCACTGTCTTAGACATCGCAAAGTACCTAGCAGGTGGAAATACGAAACAAGCGAGAGAATTCTTTGAAGCTTGTCCTACAGCGACTTCCACTAATCGACACGTTGTACTAGATGTAATTTACGCGGCACTACGGATGAAAGATAATCAACTTAATCAACTAAGTCTAATGGGACAGAACGCCGGACATGTACGTCGGACGACTACGTCAACCGCAGAGGCACGAGTGCTAACGTCACTTGGGACGAACCAGGAGAATCAATTCCAGTGGTCATGCGCCAGTCGGACAAAATCAATCAATAACAGCAGTACATCAGCCATTTGAATTGATGCTTCGCTGCCACACAACCATGATGACATATGGAATAAAGAAGAATAAGAGGGAGAGAAGGGGATCTACCGGAGAAGTTTAATACGCTAAGCAAAGTTCCAGGATCAAGGCGTCTACACCTTGTGTTAATAACATATCGTCATAAATAGCTGGCTATCGTGCAAATAAAAACGGCATCAGTGAGACAGCTTCCTTGTTGCTTTCACTGCCCCGTGTCATAATCCGCTATTATTCCACAGATAACTAAGCACCAGACACATATTGAACATGCAGTCCGATTAGAAGACGGCAGCAGACGTGTCACTAGTGCCGACTACGAACAACGTCATGTAAAGTCTCGAGACAAGCACAAACCGGGTCACATAGACTCCAACCCGTTGGATACTTCGAACTCAATGTGACTGCTCGTCCGCCCAGACGATCGATCACACAATCACATTTACAAACGCTTCGCATTGCGCCGCTCCGCCACATACTAACGTGCTGATGGTCACTTCGAGTGGTGATGGAACGTTTGAAGCAAAACTGCCTAGATCAGTGACCACTTCGACTACCAGTTGAACACCCTGGTCTACCAATAGTTACTTCGGAATCCCTTCATTTCCTAACCCGTTTTTATTGGATATAGGCTTGTTAATTGAAAAACTGTTACACTTATTGCAACAGTGTACCTGTAATGGAAGAAGCTGGGGACGTATGTTACTGCCGATTCTTGGTGGAATGATTGAAAAAGGCCTGTTTCTGGGAGGGTAATTGGTAATATCAGCCTGCAGTAAAATTTGCCTGCCCGTCTGCACTCGCTGCCAAGTCATTATCTTGTGTGCCCTGGTTCCATGACCAGAGAAAAGCGTACACGAAAAAGGCGTACACGAAAATTGCGTACAGCAGAAAGAGTACCGAAAATAACGTACACGGAAAATGGCCTACACGGATAAAAACGTAAATGGAAAGATGCATACGTGGAAACTTGCTTACACGGATAATCGTACAAGGAAAGATGCTTACATGGAAAATTGCGTACACAGAGAAAAGCGTACACGGAAAATTCACCCACGGAGAATGGTGCACACAGTTTACGGCGAACACGGAAATACACCGGTTCGATCGCTTTTCACATAAACAACTGCCCTACTTGCCGTATCTCCCATGACTCATTGCGAATACTCAACTGATCGTCTACTGCAGTTTGCTGAAGACTCATCGTTTCGGTGGCTCCAACGCGCTTGATATGACCAGACCGAGTTCGTGGCTAGCCTATCCTTGGCTTGTTGAGCTCGGTGACCGCATCAAATGACCGATAGCCGATTTCTGTCAGTGGTACTTCACATAGTAGGATGCCCACAGTGCACATTTCCCACACAAAAAAAGCGTTCGGGTGGAAAGTTCACGCCAGTCTGCAGATGTACTCGATTTGTTGGAGTACGATGTGTACAATGCTAATCGAATTTACTTCTTCCCTTGCACACTTGGACGATCAACTAGAAATGTGGAATGTCAGTTCACGCCATTTAGTGGACCTAAAATACGCCCAGTCGGACTCTTCGCGCAGCTGCTACACGCGCTGCTATTCCCGCTTCCCCAACCAGTGCGGTTCACCTGTATCACTAAATGAGGGACACTTGTATGCGCACAACAAAAGCGTATCAATTCATGATTCCGTTCATCCGGAGTGATCTTCAGACCTGCCGTCATAAATGCTCAAGAATTCGTTTTCTTCACACCAAGTGCGTTGGAGCCACTGAATCACTGAGGCTTCGGCAAACTGCAGTAGACGTGCAGTGTTCTGTCAGCTGAGTATTCTGTATGGGTCATGGGGGATTTGGCACTTAGGGCAGTCATTTAGATGCAAAGCGATCGAACTAGTGGATTTCCGTATTCGCCACATACTGTGCACCCCATTCTCCGAGGATGAACTTTTTCGTGGACTCATTTGTCGTGTGCACTTTTTGTGGTACGCAATTGGTGTGTACGCTTTTATCAGGGAAACCCTTGGCTCATGTGGTCTGTCCGTGCCTCATCCCTAGACGAGGAGTCACGCAGTGTAGCTTGGGATCGCCTGACACAGTTGCAAGGGGGCCTGTCGAATTCGAACCACAGGATGATCAAGATCCTGGTTCACACCTTCCTGTCACATACCCTCATACAAGAGGAAAGGGCGAACTCGTGGGCTCCGCATGCAATTGTACGTGCGCAAAATGCTGATTCAGCCGTGCGCGCGGTTGCCGTCAAAAGATTTGTCCATTGCACGGCCGATAAACTGAGGAAACAACCCGGGTTTTGTAGAGGCGCGCAGACGAGAGTTTTTGCTACATCCCGGATGCGTGCTCCCATCATACCGGACAGCCCGTAGGCGAAACATATTTCGCATGTATATACTTCTGTCTTGGCTCGTCTTCTGTGTTCTTATTGCGGTCGTGGGGTGTGAATATTCGGTGGCAAAACAACAAGCACCATTTTGCCCAAACCGTAAACGCAACTCAGAAACTACCACAATTGGAGTTTCAAGCAGTTGGTTCCCTTCAGAATTTTGAAAGTTCAGTGATAAGAGGAAAGCTGGTAGATTCGTGCATTGCATATTTTCTTTACAGTACCACTAACGTTAAGCGATATGCGCATCCGTGGAAGCGAGAATACAAGCTTTAGTTTTAACATGGAGGATGGAAGTTCAGGATTTATGTCCATGGTAGCCTTAGACTGACAAATAACTATTTT